TCTTATACGTGACGTAACTATTTATAAATTTCTCAAGTTTATACACATTCTTTACGTAAGAAAATTGTTAACTCAAGTGAGCCGAAAAATGTGAACGAAGCAGATTTTTAATTCTTTAAGAATTCATCAAATACTGCTGCATCTTCATCTAAAACCTCATCTAGTACCTCATCCAACGAAGGCCCTTGTTGTGTTATTGGTAACTCTAAAGTAGATATTATCTTCATTATGATACATTAATGGTATTAATTTTTCCCTTAAGATGTATCAAAACATACTTGGTATAGATCCTGTTGCCTTATATTCTCTAACTTCTTCTTTGAAAACCTCGTCAAAAGTTTCTCTTCTTTCTTTCATCATTTTCTGTTGCTTAAGTTCATACTTGGATACTCTTTCAGAATGTTCATTGGCTAATTTCTCTAAAATTGATATATATGTTAAATATTTCGTTCTGTGAGTACTGAGTACATAGATTACCTTTAATGACATTTAATTCTGCAAGCTTTTTCTCTTTATATAAAGCTAATTGAAATCTATGATCCAATTGTCTATTTTGTAATTCCAACATCTCATTCAAATCTTCCAATTTGTACAATGCTGTTTCTACTTCTTCAAACATTTCTTGTAACGTCCCTTCCATAATCAATACTTGACATTAATTTCACTCTTTTAAGACTTTTATAAAAAACTATATATTAAATANTAACAATACCTATTTGGTCCATAAGATCTTGTATTGCATTGTTGATTTTTGGAATGTGAGCCAAGGTACTATTTAAATGCGTAATACTTTTCCACTCATGTTCAAGTTTCTCGTAAATTGTTCCTATAAGATTATCAGCCTCTTGAGCCTTTCCTGCGTTTTCTTCTGCAAGTTCATGTAGTTCATTCCATTGTAATTGAAATGTATGCAAAATATCAGCTCCTGCATTGTAATTAACATTTCTGACATTATTCGACTTTTTTTGCTTTGGATTTTCAACTACTGTCAATCCTCTAATACTGAAATATCAAGATTGACATGAATCATGACAACTATGGATTATCTTTGATGTTTCTTATGTGTATAGAATCAGATTTTTTTACCTAGCTGATATACCTTCTTGCACTGTTTGAAACTTATTACGTAG